ATTCTAGCAGAGGCAGACAGGTAATAAACAAATAAATGAATCTTATTTCACAGATTCAAGATGCACAGTTTTTCACATTTGAGCATGTCTGTTACAGTCAATGGTATCATGTAGTTATGATTGGCATTTTTTATTCTTTTCAGAGGTGCATAGTGGTGGGTCTTAAAGTTGATGGAGTCATGTTTGATGAAATACAGTATATGTATGGGGTTGACATATGCTAAGTAGAAAATTAAAGCAAGCTAGGAGGCTAGAGTGTGCAGCCCAGGCAGGGCGGGGGATGCTGTTTATATTGGAGGGATCAGGGAAGGCCCTGCTCAGGTGCTCTGGCCCAGACACCTGCCAGAAGTGGGGTGGGAGGTGGTCAGAAATCCAGGGGATGGGGTGCAAAGACCCTGGGAGCAAGCTTGAGGTGTTAGAGGCATAGCAAGGGGGCCAGTTCCCCTTTTGTGAGGATTGAATGGAGAAAGTTCTATAAAGTGCTTAACACAGAACACATTCTTTAGAGGGCTGCTGTTTAACGATCATTGCAGTGGTCATGGGAGAGGCACACAGTGTAGATACCAGAGTCCAAAGCGGCCAGGGCTCAACACCTGACTCTGCCATTTAGAAGGCTGGTAACTTAGGCAAGTTACTTTTCCTCCCCACTTCTCAGCTTCTCATCTGAAAATGGGGACAGAATATTCCTTGCTCAAACATGTGGCCCAGCAAGGTTAGATAGCTTTCCCAGGGCACACAGCTAGGATTAGCAGAAGCAGGATGTGAACACAGATAACACCCGGAGAATAGCTGTTCCTGCACCTGGCTACCTCTCATTGTCTATTGGGTAGGGTGAATCTAGTCAAATAAGAACAAGAGGACGTAGACAATGTTAAGGCCTGTGAGAGATGAAGCCTGAGAAGAGATCAAGGAAGGGAAAAGTCATTCCGTTTCAGAAGTCCTGGGCAGGCCTCATGGAGGACAAAGTTTGAGCAAGGCCTGGCAGAGTTGGGGGAAGGGCACCCCAAAGCCATTTTACCACATTGTTTTGCGGCCGTGTTCCTCAGCCACATCCAGCTGCAGCTGTGCCTCTTCCACAAGCTGACGACTCACACCGTAATTCATTCATAAACATTTATTTCTATCTAAATCAGCAAATGAATGCATCTATTGGTGGCAATGCGCGTGCTATACAGGGCACTGATCCACTTTGCGGGTTGGCTCAGGGAGGCTGGCTGTGGAATTTTGACAGCCCTGTTGGAGGGAATTAAGTGCCCTGAGCAGTTGCTTTATAGCTGTTTTCCAAGGTGGAAAATCAACATCATTTGCCTGCATTATTCAGAGGAGGTTGGCTCAGGAGCTCGCTTCCTCCAGCTTAGAGAAAAGATCGGGCTTCCCTAGTGGGCTTATATGTGTGGAAACATACACGGAGGATGGTGATGAGGATGATAACAATGACCTCAAGGGCAGCAAACACTTATTAAGCACTTTTTATGCCCAGGGGTTGTACTAAATATTTTTAGAGAAGTCCGACGTCTCACTTAGAGTTAGGTTCTGAAGTCAGCATGTAAGAGGCGAAAACTTGCATCTAGCCAAAATCATCCAAAAAGTGCACATGGTTGTATACATGCTTCAGAACAGTAGTATTATGTATATACAGGAACAGCATGATTTTGCATAAATGTGTCATCAGCCACTTTCCTACTTTACTCTAGGCTGGGATGTTGAGCATAGGGAGTGGATAGAATCACCCAGTTTTTAAAATTATTTCTCTCTCATCCTTGCTTCACCATCTCTCTTCCTCCATTTTTTTTGTTTGCCCCCTCCTCTTTTTGCCAAACACATATATATTTGAACTCCACTAAGTTAAATGCTCATTTAATGCAAATTCACTCTCACTTTATGTGTATAGCAAAACTCTGAGGATGCTATACTTTTACGTTTTTACCAAGGACGATACTGAGGCTCAAAGAAGTTCAGACAAGTTCCCAAGGTTGCACAGCTTGCAGACTGTGGAGCCAGGATACGATCCCTGGGCAGGCCAACTTCAGAGCTTGTGAGCTGTCAGCTGGGAAGGCAGAAGAGCTCTCCAGAGACTCTGCCATCCCCACCACAATGACCTCCTTAGGCCCCTCAGTTGACTACACTTGAGTTTCAGACCCGGCTAATGATCCAGCTATTACCAACTTGGGCCTTAAAAGTCAGTGTTTCAGCCAGTCCAGCCCTGAGATTTAACAGCCGATATTGTATGCACATTAAACACCAAATGATTGCTAACATATTTATTGAAGCTTAACAGACATCCAGTATATAAAAGATGACTCTCTTATATGGCTGTCAGACCTCAATAAACATGTTTAATAATTAATTGGCATTAAGCAAACATAATTGTCTGATTCTAAATTAAGTGTTCAGTGAAGCGTATTGTGAATGGAAAACCACAGTGGTGTTTTATTACTTAAAGTTCAGGCTGTCAATCTGGCTTTTCACATAACGAGAAAAATACCCTGCTTTCAAAGGCATGTCCTGGGCCTCCTGTCGCCTCATGCCAAAAAGGCAGTAGCTTTTTTGTTCCTAGACCCTCATATCTGAGAACTGTTTCTTATTTGACTGCTGTTTGTCTTTCTGTATATCCACTTTTGGGTTTCTGATGTTCCAAGCCAGGAATTAAGTGATGTGAAAGATGTTTTCATACATCAGCTTTCAGTTGAATTAACCATTTCTGCCATGAGTGTTTCCTACTGCGTTGACCAATATTGAACCATTGCTCCTAGGGGAAATGCAGGGTTAGGTTCCTACGAGCCTCTGTTCACACCATTTATCAATTGATCAATCAGCACCTTATTTTGTGTGTGCTTCTGTTTAAAGTCACCTTATTTAATATGTATGGTTGGTTCATTTACATTGAACTAATGAGTTCAACAGCCCTATGATTCATGCCTGGAGCAAGCTTATCTAACACATATCTTCTCTGTAAGGCACATCACAGCCTTCTGGTGCTCAGGAACACCAGCCAGCATTTTAGCACTGTGCACGGGGGCCAATTTAAACAGCAAAATCACAACAAAAAGCACAAAAAACTTGAAAAGCATGGCACTAAATAGACAATGAGGGGACACTTGTTTATGCTGTGACCCCTGAAACAAGAAAGCAGAGTGTGGCTTTGTTCGACAAGCTGAGAACGTGTGTGCAGGCACTCAAATATTTGCCACTCTGAGCATGTCTACAACCACGAAAGTACCCCAAGTACTGCTTTTGAAGTTAACAATAAATTTTATTAGTAGGCAAATTCACATATACAGAATCCATGAATAATGAGGATCAAAACTGTAATTAGATTCCATTAAGCGCAGCCACCTGTATACCCAAGTGTCTGACATTCTCTGCCCAGTCAGTTTCACCTGCCTGGGACATTGTCCACCTAGTCCTAGTGGAGCTTCAGCTCATGGTAGGTACACAATAAATATTTGTGGAATCCAACTGAGTAGTTTTTATATAAGGACTTAAAATAAGTGTCATTTGAAAACATTCTTTACTTTTCTTTAGTCTTCATTTCTTTCAAGATTCCTGACTGTTATTTATTACTTAAATTTAGTTAATATTCTACCTTGGCTTAAATTAACTTTCTATCTCCCACCTGCCCCTTAATCCTTCAGAGATCTTGAAACATAAGCCATTTTCTCTACTGGCAACTAAGCCTGTAAGATTCACATGGGAATGAGGAAGAACAGGCCCTCAGTAGGCACCCCTAGCTGGGTCAGATCTGTGTGACAGTGAAAAACTGTCCCTAGGACCTCATCCATGTATGAAACCCATGTATGTACACCCTACATGGAGGTGTGGATTCAGGCTTAAAACCTCTTTAGAAGAAGCATCAGGAAGCAGTGCTGTAACTTTAAAAAGTCACTCTTCAATGGCAGCTGGTTTGGCACTGTGATGGACAGGTGGGGGACATTCAGGGACCATCGGATCTTGGGCTTCTCACATAGTTTTCATTCTGGCCCGACCTAGAAGGTTCGGAACTGCAGGTGGGGCTTGGCTCTAGAGTCTGAGCAAGCTTTGGGTTCTGCAGGGATCCTGTGAAAATTCACATTTTTGAAGACTGGAATTTTATTCCTAGGGATTTAAAAACCTATAGATAAAGGTATATCATGAAATTTGTGCATACCTATCTTAAAAGTTAGAAAACAAAGAGTAGATAGCATGCACAGTCTCACTACTACTTAAACATACACATCTTAACATGTTGGCATATTTGGTCATTTTTTCTTTTGTGCACAAGTTCTTGGTATAATTTTAATCATGCTGCATAGAAGAGTTAGTATTCTTTTTTTCCCCTCTCAACCTGGCATCATAATACGTTCCATGGTGTTACCTGGTTCACACAATCCTCATTTCACATAGCTGCAAATTAGCCCATTGATGGGTTGCACTGTAGTTTGCTAACCATTCCACTATGGTTAGACATTGTTTCTAGTTTTCTTTCTCTATATAACAGTGCAATCTACTTTTTTTCCCCTCAAGTTAGTCAATGTCTGGGATTATTCTTAGCCCAGATTGTCAGAAGTAGAGTTGCTAGGTCATTGGGTAGGGTTTTTAAGGCTCTTGATAGCATCGCCTAATTGTTAAGAGTGTGGGAGTGTGCCCATCTCAGCAATCCTTCTTAACACTGTTACCATTTTTGAATCTTTGCTAAGTTTAAATGAGACCCAGAGTTTGTTTTCTCACTATGCTAGTGCTCTACTGGGCATCTACCTTCATGTGCCCAGGCCTGTATTCCCATTAGCCTATACCGTCTGTGCACACACGTGTGTGTGTGCTTGTTTGCACAAAATACAGTCGACAATATATTTTATTTTTTTTTAAATGTATGATATTGGCAAGTAATTTCTTTCTCTTATGCTTTCCCCAGTATTTCTTGAAAGAATCTTATCTTCCAAAAGTTCCTGCCTAATGTCCTTGGTTTTTAAATTAGATTTATTCATTCTCTCTCTCTCTTTTTCTGCTAATTGAAAACGCAGCTCTTGAGGATGACAATTGCCAAACAAAGGCTTGGAGATGAAGAAATCGGTGTGCGGCACTTTGCAGCCCATGAGCGTGAAGATTTGGTCGAGCAGCTGGAGAGAGCTAAGGAGCAGGTTATTGCTAACATCTGCTAAGAGTGGGGTTGTGTTTGCACAGCTGGACACAATGCAAGAAGAGTAGACTGTGCCCTGTGTTTCTCAGAGTACGGGATGCCAGGGCTGCGAGTCACAGGGGGAAGGAGGATGCACATGGATGCTTTTCCTTCCTTGGTACTGCTCTCTATTCCTAAGCTGACTCTTGGGTCTCTGGCTTCCAGCAGGTCTGCTCCCCTTCCATTGGGTGCCATTGTTCTGAACACAACAAAAAAACTTTCCCCCTATCCAGAATAGGCAGGGAGGGAAGAAAATGTGACAAACTGGCCTTAATTTGGAAGTTTCTGCTAAAATGCTGAGCTGTGCTTCTTAGGCAGAATCTCAACCTGTACAGAGCCCTAGTTAGGGAACAGCTGAGAGAGCCTACATTTCCTTTTTCTCCTCTTGTTAATTGGTTTTGAAGAGCAGAACAAGATTTCTGGGTCTAGAGTAAATTTGAAAAATTATGTATTTGTAAGACACTAGCAGCCATTCCAATGTCTGGATTTGCCCTCTCCGAGCCTCTGGCCGTAGGGCGTGCTGCAGAAGGGCAGGGCTCGGTTCTGGTCTTCCCAACTGCTGCACCTCTCCTGTCTGAGATATAATAAGTATCTGGCAGGAAGTCATCCCCTTGCTTTTAGCTTTTATTGTATCCCAGCATGTGGTGTTTATGGTTTTATAGCATGCGGGTGGCATCAATAAGCTCTCTAAAAGTCAGTCAACCAAGCGGAAGGCTCCATCTCTGGCCATAAAGCCAGAGTCTGAAGAACATCTTGAGTAAGGGCACTTCTTCTGGTTTCAGATTGAGTCTTTGGAGCATGACCTGCAGGCTTCTGCGGATGAGCTTCAGGATGTGAAAGAAGAACGGTCTTCCTACCAGGACAAAGTGGAGAGGCTGAACCAGGAGCTAAACCATATCCTGGGCGGGCATGAGAACCGTATCATTGACGTGGATGCACTGTGCATGGAGAACAGGCAAGTGGCCAGGCCCAGGCCTGCACTCAGGAGGAATGTGGCTCTCGGCAGGCCTGCAGGCTGGAAGTTATTTGCAGCCCTGTTTACATTTGAGAAAATTGTCTTACAAGTGAAAAGAAAGTCACAACCCCCCAATGATGATATCAATGTCCTGTATAAGTTGTAAAAGTAAAAAAAGAAGCACTATACACCCACATAGCCACATACATAGCCCTTTCTCTCTTTCCCCACACCCTCCCTGGTAAGGAACCAGTGAGAGCTGTTTGTTATTGCTATCAAGGAGTAGGAAAAGAAGAAGAAAATAAATTGAGAAATTCCCTTAGCTGTTTCTTTTCCCCGAGGCAAATTTCAGTATGTGTATGTCTAACTTAATGTTATGTCTGGTGTCATCTCTTCCTGCCTTACTTCCCAGTGGAATCATCTTAATGAGAATTATGTGAAAACTGTGTTGATATCCCTTAGAGGATCTCTGCCAGGGCTGTTTTAAAATGGGGTGTCTGTGATTTGGGCATGTTTGACCTTGATCACATCCACTTAAGAAAAGGTCACAGTGAAGCACATTTTTCTCCTCCTCCGGTCTGTGATGAGCAGGAGAGGTGTTCTGTGTAAAAGATGGCTCTTCCAGCATGCATTTGACCTTGATCACATCCACTTAAGAAAAGGTCACAGTGAAGCACATTTTTCTCCTCCTCCTGTCTGTGATGAGCAGGAGAGGTGTTCTGTGTAAAAGATGGCTCTTCCAGCATGCAGTTTTCATTTTTTCCTCTTGTACTTTAGTGTATATTTTTTACTTTGCCCATAAACACTTCCTCATTGTGTATATTCTTTTCCAGGTACCTTCAGGAGAGGTTAAAGCAACTCCATGAGGAGGCCAACCTCTTGAAATCGAACATTGCCAAGTACAAGGTAGCGAAGTCATGACAACGATGATGGCGATTCAGTATTGTGCATCTAAATGTCATTCTAGTTCAATTTTCTTTTATGTGCCAGAGATATTTTAGTACTTGCTTGCCCTCCCATATGGAGTCCAGTAAGAGTTTTAACAGGGGCAACTGGTAAAAATTAAAACCGCAAACAGTAAACAAAACCAAAGCAGTTTTTGCAAGCCCTCGTTCTGTGGCTGTTCATCTGGACAGGGCACACTGAGAGCACCAGAATCTGCACTTGTCTCCCCTACAGCTTTGGTCCGTATGAAATTAGGTTTCTTATCCATTTTTTCTATAAAATGTTCAGTCATCAGATGCTATTTGTCTCATAATCATCCATAAGAAAATGGTTTCCAAGTGATGAAGAAACAAAGATTGGGAAATCACAATCTGAACGATAATGTTCACGTCACACTGAAAGGACAGAGTGTTTAAATTCTCCCCACTGTTATTTAGTCTAATTCCAGCACCGTTAGTTTGATAATATCTATTTCTGCAGATGTTAGTTGTAAGTGTTATAATTAGAAAAATCTCCCGGGTTTCTCTGCTTTGAAAATAGATTGATTTCACTTCCTGAGGGTGAAGTTTTACAGCCGTCTAGATGCTTGGGAGAGGCTTCTCATTTTCATGGCTTCTGGCGTTGCTTTTTTTCTCAGAAGTCTTCATGCTGTTCCATTCTGTGCATACCAGTCTACATCTACACATGCAACCAAAGAAGAATAAAGCTTTTAATACCTTATTTTAGAAAATGTGTGCATGCATTCATTGTAATTTATTCAATTCTTTGTGCCAAACACTGGCATACACTACATATCAATTTTAATGTCAGAGTCTGTTCTAGAAATGACATTGGGTGGCACAGATGCACTTCCTTAATCTTGTGTCCACAGCAGACATGACTAGTCTATCATGGCTCTCTTTCCAGTCCAGGCACAAAATCCTTCCAGATACCACCATTGGTGCATGAAAGTAAACCTAGTCTCCATCGCGTATCTTTTCAGAAAGGGTTTCCATAAGTAGGGACTTCGCACATTAGACTACATTGCTGCTTCAGATTTGATTTAATTTAACAAACATGCATTAAGTGCCTCTTGTATACAGGGGACTATAATTGCTGTCTTTCTGCCATGCAACAACTTTTTAAAAAACTCTTTACCAAGTTCATTAAAATCCCACCTCTTTGACAGGGACTCGGAATTGTAAACTTTAGGCCAGCATTTGGAATTTTCAAAGGGTTCTTGTATGCTGTTGGGAGAATGCCTCTACTATAAACTGGGTATTTTTCCATTATTGGCTTTTCTGACAGGTTTTTATTTTCTCCCAATTCTGCTTTAGAATGCTCTCGAGAGACGGAAAAACTCAAAGGGCCAAGGTAAATCCAGCAGCAGTGCTCTGACTGGAGTCCTATCTGCAAAGCAAGGTAGGATTTTTGCTCCAGGAGGGACCACTTACAAGCGTAAAATGCTAGCATTGTGAGTCTGCATCTTATCCAAGCTGCTGGCTTTGTGGATTGGGAGCAAAGGTGATCCTCAGAACTGTGGTTCCCAAACTTCCACTTGCATCAGAATTACCTGGAGGGCTTGTTGAAATATGGATTATTGGGCCCCACCCCAGAGTTTCTGATTCAATAGGTTGGGGGGTGGAGGGTGGGAAAATATGTATGTCTAAAAAGTTCCCCAGGTGATGCTGACACTGGTTCGGGAACCCCACTTTGAGAATGGCTGCATTCGAAGTTTTTCTAATGACTGGATCCTATATGGGTGTATTCCCTTACACTGTGCTACCTCTTCAAGAATGTTTTCTCTTCCCTAGTCACTAGTTTAGCATCTCCAAGAGTGTGTTTCAGCCTCCTTGAGTTTCTCCTTTCCCTGGCCAGTGCGATCAGAATAGAAAAGTCCCATAGCTGCTGAAATCATTTTATCAGGGAACATGTGCCTTTTTCAAAGAAGTTTTTATTGATTGCAATTTGTTCCTCCTCCTTGTTGACTCTGATAAAAAATAATGATCTTCCAGAAATAGTCCAGGGGAATATATAGCAGAGAGCTAGTTTCTGACACTTAATATTCAGAATTCAGGTCTAAACAGAAGCCTCACGTTCAACGTGCTCCACTGGCCCATTTTTTGCCAGTTGCTGGTATAGACCAGCAACCATCATGAGACAGTCTTAATCAGAGCCAGAGTGGCTTTTAAAAAACAGTGCTGAGTCTCCAGACTACCTAACAACCAAGGCTCTTTCCTAAGCAACTTCTTTCTTCCATTCAACTAGAAAAGAACACCCTAGAATTGTTTTTAAAAAGAAAACTACAATATTCTATAAAAATGTGAAGTAGCTCATCTACGTTTATTTCTGGATATCTTTTATAGCAAACCGTCTTTGAATGTTGATTTCAGTGTTACCATTGACTTGGGGAATGCCAACCACACTCAAGCACTGTGGTGGCACTATAAATCTGTCACAGCCTTTCTAGAGAACCTATTATGAAAAGCATAGCACCAGTGATCTATTGGCATTGGTAAGCAAAATCTATGAATCTATGGCAGCCTGTTATAAAAAGCCTTAGACCCACCCCCTTTGAACCAGTGAGAGATAGTTATAGACATATGCAAACATTTTGCTACAAGAAAGTTCTTTGTATTCTAGTTATCATTTTAAAAACATTGGAAACAACATAAATGTCCAGCAGTAGTTAAATAAATTATTATATAATACATAGACTACTAAAGCAGCCATTAAATTTTATGTTTTAGGGGATGTTAATGACTGGGAATATTGTTAAATGAAAAAAGCAGGGCTTCTTCCCATTTTTGAAGAAAATATATTGTGTGAGTTTGTATATCTACATATAGTCATATAGGAAATGGTATTCAAGGATCTACAGTGAGAGATTTATGCTGCTTCTTTTTTCTGCCTGGTAGGAATACCAGAGGTTATTGTCTTTTTTTAAGTTTATCTACCTTTCTAAAATCATGCATTACTTTTGTAATGGGAGTGAAAAATGCATTTAAAAAATCCAAACCAGATTTGCAGAACAGACCTTCAGAGTCAGAAGAGACACATATGCAGGAGCGTCTGAATGACCCTAGAGTAGCAAAGACAGTAGAAGAAGCTGAAGTTCTGCATGGAGATCGAGCCCATGCTGGGGATGTGGCGGGGGGCTTCTGAGAGCAATTTAAGCAATTTAGTAAACCCAGGTGAGTCCAGGTCCTGCTTACAACCAAACATAAATGGGGGAGCAAAGTTTTAGCAGCATCACATGAAAAAGTCATAGAGGTTTTAATAGACAGTATTCTCTTTCATTCATGATGGTGTTTTATTGCTAAAGAAGCTAATGAAATCTTATATTAACAGAAGTATGATATTTGGAATAAAGGAAGTGAGAATCCTACTGTGTGCTAAGCTAGTCATCCCACACCTGGAATATTTCTTAATATATTTATAAGTGACATAGTGGCAAATCAGAAATGATTTTTTTTAAGTAGACACTTTTGAAGCTGGACAAAAACTTAGTTTTTTCTATCCAAGCCATTCGTAGATGACTGGAGATTTGTCAACAGAGACTCATCCAGGGCAGGGTATGCATAGGAGATGGTCAACTTCATGTAGGTCTGAATCCTACAATTACGCTGAACTCTGTATGTTGTTTGGCTTCATTATGAATTTGGCAATGAATGTGATTTGGTGGTTTGTAGAATAACAAGCTCAAGGAACAGCTATCCTTTGTGTAATATGCTCTTTCCCAACATTTAGACAGTTGCAGTCTGCTATATAATTTTTTTCCTTATGTTTGTACAACCTATACTATTATTTGCTTAATATTTTTCTTTAAATCAATTTTAAAGTGATTCATTTTACTTAGCCTTGTCCTAAATAGTAGCACCTATGTTTGTTATGCCATTTATATTCTTTTCTATACTTTCAAATAAATACATAGCTATTAAAATATAAAACATTTTGTGTTTTAAATAATCTTCTGAATTATCTTGCCACCTGCCTGGGTATCACACTATGGGAAACTGATATAAAGCAAGGAGCTCAGGGATGGGAGTCACTGTCATTTGCATAGCTGTGTGACCATCAGCCAACATTTTAAATCCATCTGTGCCTTGCTTTCCTGTCCATGAAATAGAAATAAATAATATTTACCAGTTTTTTGTTTTTTGTTTTTTTCAGTTTTAAGTCTCATTGAGTTAGTATGAAAGTGTTTAAAACACTGGACAAATGCAAATATTATTATCCTCTTAAAAATTGCTGATAAAAGTCCATGAGGACTTTCTCCTTTCTGTTTAACCCTCACACTGGATTTTATTTTGCTTTACTTTTGACACTTGAGGTGGACCCTCAATACAGTGTACAGGTAGTAAGTAGCATTTAGAAGTTGGGAGCATATCATTTTCCAGAAAGGATTGGAATTGGTTTGCATTCCAGCATTCCTATGTTATTTACAACTGAGACATAAATTTTATGTCCTACCTAGTTCAGGATTTGCTGTCTGAGGATCACGGATGCAGTCTCCCAGCTACTCCCCAGTCCATTTCTGACCTGAAATCTCTAGCAACAGCCCTGTTGGAGACGATCCATGAGAAAAACATGGTCATTCAGCACCAGAGGCAAACCAACAAGTAGGTGGCTGAACTCTTTGGTTGGGGGTGGGCAAGAGAGAAGTGGGAAAAGGCTTAGGGGAGAGAGGTGAGACCCCTCCAGTCTGGAAGGAAACTTATGAAACTAGAAATGTGCTTCTGCTTTCTGTTAGCATCTTGGCTTTCCACCGGAGTAAAGGAAGTAATACAGGTCATCCCTCACTGAATGCTTACCTCTGAGCCACACAATGAGTAATGCATGTGTCGTGGTCAAGTTCCATAGTATAATCGCCTGGGTGACTTAACCTACCTCTCCTCCAGGTCTTTCTTTAGCAGAGAAACTGCCTCAGTGCCTTTTGAACCTCACAGTGTGACTTTGGGGGGCTCTGGAAGGCAGGAATCACCCAAGCATCAACTTCTCCAGACAGCTGAGCCTAGAAGGGAGTCTCACGTCACTCTTCCAGGTCAGCAAAAAAGATGATGAAAAGGAACAATCATTAAAACAGAATGTCTTATGTGGTTTTTATAGCATGTTGGTTATGTTGTATAAAATCAAGCAAGTTAAAATAGTTTGAAGTAGCAGAGATGACAGAAGCAAAATTGAAAGTGTTCAGAGAATGTTGAATAAACAATAAATTAAAGCAACAAAAATCAACACCGGAGGCCAGCTTTGTGGACATGCAACCGTGCCCAGAAAGGCCCTACACTTGTTCTGATGCTCTGCTGTTACCGTCTTGAAATTCCTAATAATTGTTTTGCAAGGGGACCCTGCATTTTTATTTTGCACTGGGTCCTGCAAATTATGTAGCAGGTCCTGCTTACAATACGTACAACCAGAACCAAAATGAAAGGTGGAAGAGCTGAGGAGGGGCTGAAAATCTAGGCCTCAAGTGAGAAGGGAGGGGTCAGGGGACTGGGGGTCTGCAGAAGGCAGCGGCACGAGGAGAGAGGCGACTGGAAGATGATTAAAAGTACTGCAAAAATAAGATAGAAAAAAGAGAAGACGGAGCAAAGGAAGATCACACAAGAAATTAAGATGTATGTGGAAGAAAGCAGAGAGCAGTAAAGAGAGGCCAGGCAATCTCAAAGGGATGACAAGGGTAATTTATTGGCAGGAAAAGCTTTAAACATACTCAAAAAATGAAATTTTAACCAAGGAATGAAGCAGCCAGATGGTGAAATGCAGATACTCCTCAGGGGAGGAAGAGGAATCTCTGCAGAATCAGCATAAGGTTTGTTTCATGCAGGCAGAATCTTCTGCCACACGTAGTGTCTTCAGGGAGCCCACTTTGTCCTTCTGTCCCCTACAAGGCACCTCACCAGGGCTCTTTCAAACCTTCTCAGTTCTCTAAACCCCTGACCTGTTCTCAGCAGGTGACTTCAGCTCCTCGTTCCCTGAGGAAACAGGGCTTCTCCTGCAGAGCTCCTCAGCTTGCTGCTGCCCTGAAACCAGCATCTCCCTGCAACCCGCCCGCATCTCTAGGAAACCCACAGCCACACCTGCTTTCCTCTCTGGGGCATTGCTCCCCTGGAACCTCCTTTCTCACCTTCTTCAACTTCCTACCCCCCCACCCCGGCTTCTGCTTCTTTCCCCTGAACCCCCCAAGCCTTTCCTCCACACTGCAGCCTTCCCGGGAATCCCGCTCACCTGGACTCTTCATCAAGAAGGCTACCTCCCCTTCCTCAACAGCCACCCTGCCAAAGTGTGTGCCGGGGGGTCACCTATGGTAGAATTACATTGGGGGGCACTTGTTTAGAAATGCAGATTTGGGGGATTTGCGGGAGGGAAGGTCAGGGTTCTGGATTTTAGTAAACCCAGGTGAGTCCATGCACAGGAAGGAAAGATAACCTTGGCTTCAATATCTCCAAGTCCTCTTTTTTTCTACTTTAATATTTCTTTGAAGGTCACCAGTGTCCCCAAACTCCACCTTTGAGTCTTTTTCTTATATAATTTTTCTACATCCAAATTTTCATCTTGAAACCCAAGGAAGATGGGTTTCAAGATGGAAACTCAAACTTTCTTTGCTGTCTCCTCCCCTTCTCTCTCCTCCTCCCCCATCCCCTCCACCCCAGGCCTACTTCTCTCTGCCTTATGCTCTTCTTACCCTGTGGAAGGGTGGCGGGGGTTGGGGGGCACCTCATTTCCTGTCACTGTCTTTGCCTTTCATTCTTTGCAGACTCTTCTTAGACCTCTTGTCCCCTCCATCCCTTCAAGAGTAAGACCCATATTTCCAACTGCAATGTTGATAGTTTCTCACAATATCCTTTCGGCTCCTCAAATGGAACAGGTCCAGAGTCCATTCCTTAGTATATTTTAAGATACTTGAAAATGTTTGTGTCCTTTGACTCAGATGACCTGCTTCTCTAGGAATTTATCCTAAAGAAAGAAATCAGAATGACACTGTGGAGACTGTATATGAGGTTGTTCACTATGCATTCATTTATAAGAGTGGAAAAGATGGCAACAACCCAAATGTCTTTCAGTTGGAGAATGATTTGAATTATTGCGCATCTTTAAGACGGAATATTATCCAACGATTTAAAGCATGATTTGAAGAATATTTAATGTGCTCTGCCCTCCATCCTAATGCCCAGGTTCAACAAATCTCCACATCACTCAGGTTTAAGCTGTCCCAGGGCCAGAACAGGTGTCCATTTCAGTCACTGTCCCCTCCCAGTGCTCAGGACAGTGTTGCATGCAGTGGGCACTCAGGGTGACGTGGTGAATGGATGAGTGAATCATCTCCTAACCCTCTGTTCCTGTTCCTTTAATACTCACATCCACATGGTTGTTCACCTTCAGTTTTCCTGTATTCATTCATTCAATGTACATTTCTTGAGTGCTTGCCGTGGGCCTTCAGGGTTTCTCTCCTACCTGCCCCTTCTGCTTTCTTCCCCTTGGACCATCAACTCTTTCTTGGAAAGACCCTCCCACCGCTCCATCCTCAGACCCCAGCCCCACCTCCCCTGCCCCACACCCCCCTGGCAACTCTAGTATGAGCACGTCCCAGGACTCACTGCACAGCAGCCTGCTGCCTGCCTCAGTCCGTCTCTACAACCTGACTTTCTGCAGACCACTCAACCTCTTCTGGCAGACTGATGTCCTACCGTGATCCTAACCATACCCACTGCAAACACATACATTCCCACGTTCAAAGCGTTAGCTCCCTCTATGGTGAAAGACAGATGTTTTCATTTGGCCCTGTTTGCTTTTGTTTTAATGCACCTTTTCATGTTTAACTACTTTTAAATAATTTTTGAACCATCCCATCATTCAAATTTTAAAAGGTTAAACAACAGCGTATCTCCAAACTACTCTTGGCTACCCAAATCTCCTTCCTGGAATAAACTACCATTCCTCATTTCTCATGTATCCTTTGAGAAGATGCATATATAAACAAATGCATAATACATTTATATATAGATATAAATGCTCATATATTTATATAGATATATTATTTTATTTATTTGCAAAAGGTAGCTAGGATTCACCAAAGAAAAGATGTTTTGTTTTTCTCATTATTCTGCACCTTGATTTTTCCCCCTATAACAAAAAATCTTGGAGATTGCTTGATATCAGTACATAAGGTACCTAATGTGCCATTTTTAATTCTTATAAGTTTCATACTTTCAATAATGTTTTATGTGGGGGCAAGTAAAGAAACTAATTATACAATAAATGGAGTGAGAGCTAAGAGTAGAATGTGAATTTGGTCTGCTTGCTGTTATGCCCATGACTTAGCCTTTTGTAACTGAAATAATACAATAGCTTCGTTTAGGTGGAGCATTACAAATAGGGATAAAGGTGTTCCTTTCTTGCAAGCGTGTGCGCCCCCTGCTGGTTTCCCACTGCCTGACAGTTACCTCCGCAGCCGCCCTTGAGAGGGTCCAATAGGAGCCATCTTGAAAAACTGATGAATGACCCTAGGACGTTACATTTTGAGTGATATTCAGTTAATAGGCGGTTTGCTTGAAATACTTCTTGCCAAAGAGTTGGCAGTTGTCTGGTTATCACTAAAGAAGGGATGAAGTTCATTTATCTTATAAACTGGCCGCGAAGTGTTAATGGAAGAGGCAGTTGATACAGTGCTGTTTCACTGAACACCACGTTTAGTTCTCCAGTCCTCCCAACAAGCCCTTCGCCTTCTCAGTGGTGATTGGTGGTGGTCATTAATATATGAGGACATAGTGGCCTTTTGCTACTCTTCCTGCTATGCCTAAAACTTGTCCTCTTCCCCTCCCCTGGCCAATGGTAAAAGAGCTTAGAAATTCAGGATCTTGGGTGGCAGTGAGAGGGTGTCACAGATCAGAGCAGAGATTCAAAAGAAGACCACATGGCGGGGTTGGGGGGGTGTAGGCGCAGGGGTATCTCCAGGTTGTGTAGAAGCCACAGCCACCTGCTCTCCTGCAAGGCTGAGCTTTCCTCAAGGGTCCTCACGCAGGTATTCTGCTTTCTGTGTGGTCCAGAGAGCAAGCCCTGTAGTGGCCAGTTCCTGAGTTAGTTCTGTCTGCACATTCCTAATCCCACCCTCCATGGTGTCGTTATTATCTGAAACCACTGCTGGGAAGTATTTCTGTGTGGTCCAGAGAGCAAGCCCTGTAGTGGCCAGTTCCTGAGTTAGTTCTGTCTGCAGATTCCTAATCCCACCCTCCATGGTGTCGTTATTATCTGAAACCACTGCTGGGAAGTATGTCTGGAGGCCTGGCATCTTGAAGATTTTCCTAGACTACTAGGTTGACATATGCTGAAATATTTTGTTTCCTAAAACAACCTGTAACTAAATAAAAAACTTTATTTAAAAATCTCTATCCTACCAAAATGAAAAAAAAAAAAAAAAAAAATTCTCTCTCGAGCCTGTTTATGCCTCAAGCAGCTGCTCCAGTCATCTCCTTCTAGCCCCTGCTAAACTACGTGAAGTCATCTCTATCCACCTTTCCGATAGTCCGCTCTTGTCTCAGCCCTGTCACTTGGATTCTGGATTTCATGCCTTCCATTGTCCTGAAGCATCTCTCTCAGGGGTCAGGTATGTCTTCTAAGTGGT